CCCGTGCCAGTGTCCGTGTACAGCCAGAAGGAGTTCGAGAGCTGCTATCAGTACTACCTCGACCGGCGCTGGTTACAGCACCCACACAGTACGCCCCGCCTGCCGCTGGCGTGACCCCACGAGTGTGTGTGCAGGGTGTGAGTGTGTATGCAATGTGGATGGTATCTCTTCCCTGACTCTGTGTGTGCAGTGTGGCTGGTGTCTCTTCCCTGGCTGTGTGTGAGTGTGTGTGCTGTGTGGCTGGTGTCTCTTCCCTGGCTGTGTGTGCAGTGTGTGAGTGTGTGTGCAGTGTTGCTGGTATCTCTTCCCTGGCTGTGTGTGCAGTGTGTGAGTGTGTGTGCAGTGTTGCTGGTGTCTCTTCCCTGGCTGTGTGTGAAGTGTGTGAAGTGTGGCTGGGTCTCTCCCCTGACTCTGTGTCTCCCCCTGCAGGCCGCACAGAGGAGGGCAAGAACGAGCTGATTTTCCTCTCCAGCAGGAACCCCTCGGTGCTGGAGAGGCTCTGTGGCTTCCTGTGACGTCTCTGACCGTTTGGCGCTGTGTTGTATCTGAATGACTTTGTAATAAAATGTTTAAAAGCCATCAGCGCTGTGAACTGTGTGTTGGGGGGGGGTGAGGGTGCGACTCACAGTTTGAGAGCTCGAATCGGAGGATCTTACCTCGAACAGTCTCTGTCCCTGTCCTCTCCGTTCCTGTCCGCACCCCTTCTGCCTTCCTCCTGCTCAGGAAGAGAGAATCCAGTGAAACGTCACCAGCCTGTAGTTTTCACCACCAGCCTGCTGCTCCGACTGCGGTCCTCTACATGTGCCCCAGGCTCGTTTACATACTGTGGGGGACGGGGCCCTGTCGTGCTACGCCACAGAGCTCTGGAATTCTTTCCCCAGGGGTCTCGGACAGTTACCTCCCCTGTGTGCCTTTAAATCTGACCTCAAGCCCTTTCAGAAAGGCTTGTGCCTAATGAGTGACTGTCTGCTCTATTTTCTCATTTCGGAACTTCTAGGTGCTTGTCTTTCTTGCTAAACGATTTATTATTACTGGTAATAATGCAAACTGCTCGTCAATGGAAATTAAAAGTCCAGTTTGGCCGGAAGAACCTGCTCGCCTTGAGACTCTGTGGCGGCCTCTGCTGGACAGGCGCCGTCGTTACAGCGCGCTGCTGAGCGAGACGATCACCTGACCAGGGCGGGTGACGTCACCGCGTGTGTGTCATATGACGGCGGTGGGGGCTGGCGTGTCCGCAGAGGCTTGGGTCCGAATCGGAAAGAGTTACAGAAGCCAACGGGCTCCTAATTCACCAGGAAGCGGAACAGGAGTGCGTGGGTACAGAGGTCGTGCGATATGGCGCAGTGGCGACTGCAATACATTGGAGAAAGTGAGTTCAGACCTTGCCGTTTCGTGTGAAACACTGTCCGTGTTTTCAGCATAAGCGGAATGTGCTGTTTTCAGCATTAACTGAATTTTGAGCA